TCCTGTTGGGGGGTTAAGGTTGGGATAGATGTTGTCTGAGGAGTATTTGTACCACTATCTACCCACTATAACCATACCTTCCCACTTATTATTATACAAATCCAGGTGGGTTACCCCCAGATATCTAGGGGAGGGTCACCAACCCTTACCCCCCTCCCCTCATTGTGATTACTCAATGAGTATTTAGTCATATAGGGGAAATAGGACTCGAACCTATAACGTTGGTTTTGGAGACCAAAGTTTTACCATTAAACTATTCCATTCTCATAGGGGTAGTTGTGGGTTTCCTAATACAAATCCAGAGGGGGATATATCTCTGATTACTTATAGGATAGGGCTATAAGGAGTAAACCATAATTACCCATGAGGACTATCCTTTCTAGATAGAATTGTGCTAACCCTCAAAATGGGTTTACACTCCCACGATTATAGGGTCAAAATATAAATTCATCCTTGGTTGTTATATAAATTTACCGTTAGGTTATCATACTCCTTGGGTATGAAAACAAGGGGGTGGGGGTCCTCATTGTGAATGAGAAGCATTATACCTCTTAGACAACACTAAGTGTTGTCTAAGAAGTATAATACCATAATTACCCACTTGTTCTCATACAAATAATGTTATACATTATTTGTATGAGAACGATAAATTGTACCTCAATGAGGAGTACTTGTACCACTATCTCCTCACTATCTACCCTCCTACTCACTCGTTAAAGGAGTAGCAGTTATACTAAAACACTGCTTTTGTATAATTTATGAAAGAAGGGGATGTGAGGATACCCTCATCGTTAGAAGGACCCCCCCCCCTCCCCCCTAAGGGGGTGTAATACATTATTTGTATTATATAGATAAATTTATTATAATTACCGCCTTACCAGGTGCCTATTAACTGTGGATAGCGCTAGCAGATCCTGCCTTACCGAGTCTTCTGGCACAGGAATTTGGACACTGCTTCTACACTCTACTTTCAATATAAATAGAGCTTAGGAGATTACTCTCTTTCTTTGACTAGGTCATGGTTTCCCACATTGCCTAATATTCCTCACTGCTGCCCATATAAATGGGATGGTCTTTTTGAATGTACCACTGTGGCTTAATTGCTCTAGATCATCGATTTGGTAGGCCGTCACCACTACCATCCTTCTAAACTACACCGAAACCCCCTAAACACTAAAAGCATCTACAGGTTTCCGCACACTCACCCTATCACCAACCGAGCGAAGAACGCATTAGCTACGGGTACCTCACTCATGGGTTATGAGCGAGGTAATTCCATAGATAACGCATTCGCGATACCTAAGTTGATAAGCATGTGTTAGGTCAAAGAAAATGCGATCATCCGGAGCCATGATCATACCCTTTCGTATTTTGCACATCATCGAATATTTATAGCCATGACCAACTCTTACCCCCCCCTTCCCCATGACTTGAATAAAGGGTAGTGAGGGAGAGGGGTTAAGGTTGATATCACAATGAGGAGTTCTCATACCCACCTATTGTGTTAGTAATACAAATGATGTTTTACAGTTATATCACAATAGGTGGGTTATCCCCAGATATATAACCAGGTCTATTCCCCTCCACAAAGGAGGGGGGTTAAGGTTGGTATAGATCCCCCCCCCCTTAGGGGGAGGGTTACCCACTATCCTAATCCTGTGTAAAACAATTAGGATAGTGGGTAGATAATGGTACAAATACTCCTTATTGAGGTATCACAATACCAACCCTAACCCCCTATGGTGATACCCTGACAGGATTCTTTGTATTCTCATACAAATAAGGGTGAAATTGAGGCATTATACTCCTTAGACAACACTTAGGAGGGTCACCAACTTTTACCTATACCATTGATTTGGATTTGTATGAGAACAGGATTATTTGTATTACGTCACAATACCCACCTACTCACTCGTTAGAGGGTGATACTTTAACCCCTCCCATTGAAGAGGGTATACCCTCTAGGGTGGGGTCCACTATTCCCCTAGGCGGTTAGAGAAGAAGAAGTTGGGTAGTAGGTAAAAGGCAAGTAGTAGTAATAGCAATAAGATTTGCATAAGAAACAGTAATAGGACCAGTGTTAATAGTAGTGGTAATTGGACCGAAGAAAGTGGTTTGAATAAGACGTAAGTAATAAGCAGCAGTACGTAAAGAGGTAAGAATAAGTAAGATAGCAATAATCATATAACGTACATCAATAAGACCAAATAGAACAAGAAGTTTGGCATAAAAACCAGAGAATGGTGGTACAGCAGCCATAGTAAAAACAGCAATAAGAAAAGCAAAGGCTAAAGGATAATTAGTAGTAATCATAGTAAGGCGTTTCATAAGGTCGATGCCCGGAAGTTCAGCTAAGATAAGGAAAAGGTTAACAGAAGCAGTGAAATAAATAAGAATATAGAACCAGAAAGAATGATAATCTCCAATAGCAAAACCAGTAATCATAATACCCATATGACCAATAGCAGAGAAGGCTAAGAATCTTTTAAGTCTATATTGAGCACCTAAACTAATAGCGGCTAAAAGGAAAGAAAGTACACCACCCATAAGGAAATAGTCACTTACATTAATAAGTAATGGGTGGAGAACAGGTAAAAAGAATAGAATTGCTAATTTTGGTAGAGTACCAATCCAAAGAACTAATTCCATTGGAAGGCCATCATAAACATCTGGAACCCAAAGATGTACTGGAACAAGACCTAATTTGAAACTAAAAGTAAGTAAAAGGAGTAATTGAGGCCAAAGAATTAAGGAACTATCTAAATAATTCATAGAGGCGTAGATACTATCAAAGGCAGTAGAACCAGTAAGACCATAGAAAAGACTAATAGCTAAAAGAAAGAAAGTAGTGAAAAAAGCACTCATTAAAAGATATTTAAGAGTGGCAGATTCAGTACCTCTGTAAAGGGATAGGATTAGATAGGTAGATAAGTTAAGAAATTCAAACCCAATAAGACTAATAAGCCAGTCATAGCCAATAATCATATAGATAGCACCGGTATAGCCACTAAAAAGCATAAGATGGAATTCCCAACCTAAGTTATTAACTCTACTTACAATAATATATAAGACAACACCCATAAATAAGATAGAAAATAGTAAGGAACTGTCTAAGCTTAGTAAACCATCAGCTAAGATTAAAGTAGTACCTTCTGGTAATAAGTAATAGAAATAACCTAAGAATAAAAGATAGAAAGTAAGACTTAAAAAGGCAATTCTACCAGAGTATCTACCAACACTCATCATAAGAAATGTAAGGAAGAATAGAATTAAAAGCATCATTAAATAGATTGAAATATGAAGATTCAACTAGGGTGGGTATATAGTGGGAGGGGGGGTCCCTCCCCTAGATATCTATCTCCTATTGTGACCTCCTTATTGTGGTACTATTGATTTGAATTTGTATTACGATTGTACCACACTGAGAACCCTCCCCTTAAGGGGGGATCTATACCAACCTTAACCCCCCTCCTTTTCTCATACAAATCCAAATCAATGATACCATTGATTTGGACAATGGGTAAATTACCCACTTATTTGTATGAGAATAAATGGGTAATAATGGTATAGTACTCCTTAGACAATACTTAGGAGGGTCACCAACTCTTACCCCACTCCCACTTGTCGTAATACAAATTCAGATTCACATAGTGAATCTGAACAATGGCATAATATGGTTAAGTACTACTATGACCCACTTGTCTTTCTCCTGTGGTAGTTATACCACAGGAGAAAGATTTGTATTATGATCACAACAAGATAAGTGGGAAATTTTTGGATTTGTATTATAACCATATGGGTGAGGGTCCTTATTGTGGTACAATTTACCACAATGAAGAGTATTACGATAGTGCAACTTAAATGTATGATAATTTCACGAGATTATATTTATTATGGATAATGAATAAATTAGACCGCAGCTTCCGCTACGATTACCTTGTTACAACTTAATACCGGTCTTACTACCACCTTCAACCCCTTCTCCTCTAACAACTATGTTGTTAGGAGGATAAGAGGGGCCAACCTACCCCATAAGGAGATAAGTCTACCCCTCTTTCCCCAGACAGTTTCACTGTCAGGGTCTAAGATTTTCTCATGGACATAATCCCAGTACTTGATGGGCAGTTAGTATAGTACCAATTTTAGATTCACCGCGAGATACTAAATCGCGATTACTAGCAAATCCAGAATCAAGGTTCTGGTTCCAAGAACCTATTCATACGTGGTAGAGTTTAGTTAATTGTCTCTACCGTTGTCGCACCTTTGTAGCCCCCCTCATTGGGCCACGCGTGCATGTTTTGGTCTTAGTCATAGCCTTACATTCATAGCCTTTCATAGAAAAATTCTTATATTACAATAAGTGGCTAGGTAATGGTACTAGTACCACTACTGAATTTTCTATTTCAACAGCTTTCTATGACAATAGCTATTTCTAAGGTTTCACAGATACTCTCGCGAGATTCGTTGACAACTGCCGTGCAATACCTAAGACTTTGTTTTTCTAGGGTTTGCGAAGCAAACCGAAGAAACAGACCACAGAACTACCAATGGTAACTAGTCTGAATAGAGGGGGTAAGGTTTTCGTGGACCATCGAATTAAACAAGATGCGCCTCTGCTTTTGTTGGTACCCGTCTAATCCATTGGATTTCAGTCTTGCGACCTTACTTTCCAGGCAGAATGGATAAACACTTTGTTCTCCACTCAATCGAGGGTGCAGACTACTGGGGTATCTAATCCCGTTTGCTACCTACACTTTACTGGATTCAGCGTCAATGTTTTGCAGTATAGTGACTTCTCCGTCGATGTTCCTCTTGATATCAATGTATTTTATCCCTCAATCAAGAATTCCCTACACTTAGCGAACATTCTAGTTACCTCGTAATACTCCTCATTGTGGTCGTAATACATTATTTGTATTACGACAAGTGGGAGTGGGGTAAGAGTTGGTGACCCTCCTACTTACTGTAATAGAAATAATACAACGTATTATTTCTATTACAATGGAGATTTGGTACCATTAATACCACAACCAAAGGAGTAATTTATCGAAGAAGGTGGTGTAATACAATTATATATAGAGTGGTATACGATACTAGGATATCCCCCCTCAAGGAGGATTTTCCCCCATATGGTAAGTATAAATCGTTAGAGGGAACCCCTCTTACTTGTCCTATGGGTAATAGTGGTAAAATGCTCCTCATTCACAATGAGGACCCTACCCCTAAGTGGGTAATTGTGGCACTATATCACTATTTACCCATCGTCCAAATCAACATAGTTGACCCACCTATTCTTATACAAATCCAGATCTACATAGTAGATCTGGATTTGTATAAGAGTAAGTGGAAAGGTATGGTTATTATATAAACCTTAACTACCCTCACAACAGGATATTTGTATGAGGTTAATTGTTTTACAATGTGGGGGGGTGGGGTAAGTATATCTTACAGGGTACCACCATAACAACAGGATAGGAATACATTTACACCCTCTTCCCATCTTGTTGCCCTTTGTAGAAGAAGGATTCGAACCTTCATTTCCGGCTGATGAGACCTGCGAGTTACCTCTTACTCAATTCTACAATTCTCATACAAATAATGTATAACATTATTGTATGAGAACAGGGGGTAGTTATGGTACTATTACTCCTCAGATATCGTAATACAAATCTTTCTTCTGTGGTATAACTACCATAGAAGAAAGACAAGTGGGTTATAGTGGTACTTAACCATATTATGCCATTGTTCAGATTCACTATGTGAATCTGAATTTGTATTACGACAAATGGGTAATAGTGGTATAATGCTCCTCATTCACAATGAGGACCCTCCCCCTAAGGGGGATCTACACCAACTCTAACCCCCCCACCACTTATTCTCATACAAATAATCCTGTTGTGATTTATCACAACAGGATAAGTGGGTAATTTACCCATTGTCCAAATCAATGGTATCATTGATTTGGATTTGTATGAGATTATCTGAGGTCCCTCCCCCTAAGGGGGAGGAGTACCAACTATTACCACCCTCCCACCATCGTAATACAAATACAATTGTAAAACAATAAATTGTTTTACAACAAAAAGGTGGTAATACCTTCCCTTATGTGATACCAAATCTCCTGGAGATTTGGTATCATTAATTTGGATTTGTATTACGGAACTAAAAAAGATCGAAGCTATAAAGAATAGCTGGTTCAATAATAAGGAAAGCGATAAGAAGAGGAAGTAAATAAACCCAACCAAGACGTAAAAGTTGATCAAATCTTAATCTAGGAAGGGAAGCACGAACCCAAATGAATAGATAAATAATAATAGGGCTATAAAAACCTAAGAATAAAAGGTTAAGAAGGGTAGAAATAGTAATAATATTAGTATATTCGGCAAGGAATAAGAAAGTGAAAGAAATAGCACTGTGTTCGGTCATAAAACCAGCTACAAGTTCACTTTCCGCTTCGGGAAGATCCATTGGAGCACGATTGGTTTCAGCAAGAGCTGCGATGAAGGCAATAATAGCAATTGGCCATAGGGGCCAGAAAAACATAAAGTCTGATTGTAAATAGGCAATTTCTACAAGGTTTACAGAAGCACCAATATATACTACAGTAAGGATAATAAGACTCATACTTACTTCATAACTAACCATTTGGGCAGTAGAACGTAAAGAACCTAATAAAGTCCATTTAGAGTTGGCAGCCCAACCAGAATAAATAATACCATATACACCAAGAGAAGAAATGGCTAAAAGATATAAAAGACTAGCCTCTAAATCCATAAGAACTAAGCCTTCATAAAGTGGTAGAACTAACCAATTAAGTAAGGCTAAATAGAAAGTAAGGAAGGGGGCTAAGACGAAAATCCAATGATTAGATTCTAGTGGTAAAACAGTTTCTTTAAGAATTAGTTTTACACCATCAAAGAATGGTTGAAGTAAACCAAGAAAACCTACACTATTTGGACCCACTCGTCTTTGAATAGCGCCCATAAGTTTACGTTCAGCCAAAGTCATAAAGGCAACAGCTAAAACGATAGGCAAAGCAACAATTAATGATTTCATCGGTTATAGGGGGTAATTTTAACATTCTATTTGTTACTCTGTAATATTGGGAAGGGGGAGAGATAACCAATTCTTACCCCCCCCTCCCCCTGTTACCATACAAATCCACTATTCTCATACAAATACTTATTGAAGGAGTTGTATAGATATCTATCTCCTATTGTGACCTGGTCTATTCCCATATGGGAGGGGGGTAATAGTTGGTACTCCTCCCCCTTAGGGGTAGGGACCTTATTGTGGTATCTATCGTAATACAAATGGGAGGGGGGGTAAGGGTTGGTGACCCTCCAAAGTGTTGTCTAAGGAGTATAGTGCCACAATTACCCACTTAGGAGTAGGGTCTTCATTATATTACGATTGTACCACAATGAGGAGTACTACCACAGAATAATATCATATGGGTGGGATAACCCACTTATAGTGGTATTCCACGTAGTGGAATACCATAGATAGGGTACCTGGAGGGTTGGGGATACCCTCCCTTTGAGAAGAATTTGTAATGTTATTTGTTATGTTATTCTCATACTCGTTAGACCTGGGTCACAAACAGTTACACCACAATAGGTGGGTATGAGAACAAAGGGTGGGGTTTAGAGTTGGTATAGATCCTCCCCCCTCCTGTTGTGATTTATCACAACAGGATAAATGGGTAATTGTGGCACTATGTCACTATTACCCATTGTCTAAATCAATGGTATCATATAAGGAAGGGTATTCCCACCCTTATTGTATCACGATTTTATAATTGGATTTGTATTATGATATGTTATTTGTAATGTGTAAAAGTAATATACAGTGTTATGAGAGAGTAAACTAAATGTATCACAACACTTCCATTTAGTTCTCTCCAGGTGTTCTACCTGACACGTCTATACAAAAGATAAGTTTCCTGCTTCAGATGGTTTCAGCGGTTCTCTATTCAGAACGTAGCTACCCAGCGCTAGTAAGAACTGGATCACTAGTGGTTCTACATCCCTGATCCTCTCGTACGAAAGTCTGGATCTTTTGATATAAATTGCCCTATAAGATAGGATCCCAACTGTCTCACGACGTTGTTAACCCAACTCACGTTCCCCTTTATGCGATGAACAATCGCACCCTTGGAAGCCCCTGCTCAACCAGGTTGGGAAGAGTCGACATCGAGGTCCCGAACCCTAAGGTCGATTTGAACTCTAACTTAGGACTAAGCTGTTATCCCTAGCGTAACTTTTATTCGTTGATCGGTAGCTAATACTACCGGGTCATTATGGCCAAGTGATTGTAATTGTAGTATAAATAATGCCCTCTCTGATAGTGGGTTACAATTACTAATCCTTTCTATTTGAATTGTGATTCTTATAGTCAAGCAGGCATAAGCCATTATGCGTAAAGCCTACCATTGCACACCTTCGTTACTTTTTAGAAGGCGATCACCCCAATCAAACTGTCTCTCTAACATATTCGCTTTTAGGATAGATATTAGATAACAGTAAAGCTGCATAGGGTCTTTCCGTCCCTATAGGGCGTGGTTGCATCTGCACAACCAATGTGATTTCGAAGGGTCCATTCAGGAGACAGTGGAAGTATAGTTACTTTATTCATGCGGGACTACAATTAATAGCCGAGGAATTTCGCTACCTTTGGATCCTTATGGTTAAGACCGCCGTTTATCAAAGCTTATATCTCTTGTGAAATCACTAAGAGGTTTCACTCGTTCTTCGATATGACAGGGAGCAAGTAGTGGTAATAGTACTCTTTAGACTGGATTTGTATGGGAATAATGACCTGAAACCCCAGGAGTACCTAAACCAACTCTAACTCCCCACCCCTGCTCTCATACCACAAAGGAGGGTAACCCACCTATTGTGGTATGAGAATAGTTATTTTACAAGACGATTTTCACGTATTGACACCGGGCAAAAGTTACTCCCTATACTATCTTTTACAGATCGCAGAGAGTGAAGTTTTAAGTAAACAGTCCTACCTCCCGATTTTATGACACATCCCCTACCTTGACCTACATCTATCGAAGAACGAGTAGTTCTGAGATAGATTAGCTCATGCTAACGCATTCGCTAATTCAAGGAGGGTTGCACCCCTTATCCCGAAGTTACGGAGGAATTTTGCCGAGTTCCTTCTGAATGGTTTTCCCTAAGTCTTGATCTTCTCGATCTACCTACCAGTGTCGGTTTCTAGTACGGTTTATTTGCTATTCCATCCCAAATTAAAATAAAGGTCAGGAACCGTTTTACTCAATGAAGCTAAACTTTTCATAAAAAACCTTAGGTATTAGACCATGATGATTCTTCGCATCATTTATTCATACTCACACCTGCATTCTCTCTGCCAATATATGGCATGTACCACTACCCCCTCCTCTCACTATGGGTTGAGATAAGGGACTATGAATCGGTCAAGGGCTTAGGCTCGTTAATTTATGATGCCTGGGATAGTGGGGAAATGGGAATAGAATCATTCACAATCCTCCGTTTTTCGACCTTTGCGTTGTTACACGTTCTCTTAGGGATAGCAACTTCCATGCTCACCCAGTGGTAAACTACATCCTTAGACTTCCTCAATACCTGTCAGCCCTTGTTGGAGACCTTATCAATAGTATTAGGCTCTTTCCTGTTAGACCCTGAAGCTTATCCCCCAGGGTCAGTCCTGTGTATTATTGTCTTTATCATTGGGAGTTAAGTCAGTCAAGCATACCGTTAATCCACCTATAAAAGAGTAAATATACACAATGCTACTTCAATAGCTTTCGTGGTAGACCAGCTATCTCCAGATACGATTAGTCTTTCACTCCAAGACAAAGCTCATCAGAGGCTATTGCAACAGCCACCTGTTCGGTCCAATATTCAATTCTTTTATCCTAGGGTATACTCCTCATTGTGCTTATACAAATCCAGATCTAATCCTGTTGTGATAAATCACAACAGGATTAGGATAGTGGGTAATAGTGGTACAAATACCATTACTTACCCACCATAATTATACAAAGAATGTATACATTCTTTGTATAATCTGGACAAGGGTATAATATACCCATGGAGAAGGATTTGTATTACGATTGATACCACAATGAGGACCCTCCCCCCTCCTCTCTGACGAGTGTCAGGTGGATATGGGGGATAGAGATAAACAAGGAAAAAGAGATTAATCTTTACCTGGCCTTGCCTAGATCATCTGGTTTCGGGCCTTATTCTCCTAATTAAACAGTCTATTAGACTTCGCATTCACTAGGCCTCTCTTTTGAGGGCATACTAGGAGAATAAAGTTGCAGGCCCCTTATGCAAAAGGTAAACGCTTGCTTCATTAAGAAGCTTACGCTGCCAACAACCCGTTTCAGGAACTAGATTCCATGGACTTGTCATTTACAATGAACCTTTTTCAGCTTTCCTTCACAGTACTTTTCGCTCTCGCCTATTGATTCTTCTTTTGACTTAGAGTTAGATCCCTTTATTCAAATCTTGGTTATTGGTTCTACTCATAGTCTAGTTATGCCTTACAGGACTTGGATATGTTCCTTCTATGTTTCTTGGCTA